AATAATTATTTATTGAGGTTGTAAAATTTCCGATATTTCTTTTTAATAATCAAGGATAGGACTGAAAATGATTTTAGTTTTTTGAGCATTTTTACCATATCTAGTTAGTTCGCCTATAATAAATTTTTTTTCAAAAATTTGTAAGGTTAGTGATTTTAGAAATCAAAAGTATTATAAAATTACTTTAAAAACCTTAACCAAATTTATATATTTTAAAGTCAAATTTTAAGTTTAATTAAAGTTTCAAAGATGATCTCATAATATTTTTGTTTTCTGTAATTATTTTTTTCAACATACTAAAAAAAAGTTAGATATAGATAAAATAATTTACAAGATATAAGAAAATTTGCTAAAAAACGAAATTATTTAAGTTGTTATCCATGTTTATAATTATGGTACCTTAATCAAATTTTATTTTAGGTGGCTAGGTGTACAAAAATTATAAACGCTGATTCAGATGATCCTAAATATATCATTAATGTGAAACAATTTGCAAAGTTTGTTGTTGATCTTGCTGATTCTGTAGCTCCAACTGATATTGAAGAAGGAATGCGTGTTGGGTAAAAATATGTTTTTTTTCTAAAATAGAAATATTTTTTTCAATAATAAACAATTTTATTGAATAAATTTAGTACAATATTTTTTTTAGTGAAAGTAACATAATTTTTGCTGTTAATTTTTTTTTAGTGTGGATCGTAATAAATATCAAATACACATTCCTTTACCACCAAAAATTGATCCAACTGTTACAATGATGCAAGTAGAAGAAAAGCCTGATGTCACTTATTCTGATGTTGGTGGTTGTAAAGAGCAAATTGATAAATTACGAGAAGTTGTAGAAACTCCTTTATTACATGTTAGTGTAAATTTTTTTCTCCTAAATAGATTTTTATAATATTTATTTTTAAATTTAATAGCCTGAAAAATTTGTCAATTTGGGGATTGAACCTCCAAAAGGAGTATTATTATTTGGGCCACCTGGAACTGGTAAGACCCTATGTGCAAGAGCTGTGGCTAATCGAACAGATGCGTGTTTTATTCGTGTTATTGGTTCTGAACTTGTACAAAAATATGTTGGAGAGGTAAATTACATTAATAAGTAAACAATTAGTAAAAGTAAAAATACTCAAAATAAAATTTTCTTAAAAATGAATAGGATTCAAAAGTAGATTAACTAAAGTTCACTAATACTTATAAATACTATTATTTAAAAGTTTCTTATGTATTATAATTTTTGAAAGCTTTTAATATTAAATAAATACATTTGTAATAAGTGTAATATTAAACATTATAGTTTTTTACAAAAAATATGTTGAAATTTACTAGTTTCTCTCCTAAATTATATTGACTTTTGTCTCTATAGGAAGGCTCTTATTAATAATTTGAATTTATTTAAATTTAGGGTGCACGTATGGTGCGTGAACTTTTTGAAATGGCTCGGAGTAAAAAAGCTTGTTTAATATTTTTTGATGAAATTGATGCAATTGGTGGTGCTCGTTTTGATGATGGAGCTGGTGGTGATAATGAAGTGCAACGAACTATGTTGGAACTTATTAATCAATTGGATGGTTTTGACCCTAGAGGAAACATTAAAGTATTGATGGCTACAAATAGACCTGACACACTAGATCCAGCTTTAATGAGACCAGGACGTTTAGATAGAAAAGTTGAATTTGGATTACCAGATTTAGAAGGCCGAACCCATATTTTTAATATTCATGCTAGAGCTATGAGTGTGGAACGTGATATTCGTTTTGAATTACTTGCTAGGCTTTGTCCTAATAGTACAGGTACTAATCACAAATAATTGTTCAATTTTAATCTTTCAGTATCATTTTATATATAATTATGTTAGGTGCTGAAATTAGATCAGTTTGTACTGAAGCTGGAATGTTTGCCATTAGAGCACGTAGAAAGGTTGCTACTGAAAAGGATTTCTTAGAAGCTGTAAATAAAGTTATTAAATCATATGCTAAATTTTCATCTACTCCGCGATACATGACTTATAACTAATTTTATAATAGTTTATTTAAAAACTATTCTTATTATACAAGAATTTTTTTTTAAAATAATTTCTAAAATATTTAAATAAAACAAAATTTAAATTTCATGTGTTTATAGCATGTTAGTTCTTAATATGCAACAATTAAAATTTTTAATAAAATCTTTAAATTAATAAAAAAATTAAAATTATACAAACAAAATAAATAAAAATTATTACCTATATAAAATATTCATTTTTTCAAGTATACTACAAAGCCTTATTATGTAATACAAGATGTGTTCTGTAATTTACAAAGGTCTAAAAATGTCTAATATTAATTAATTAGTAATATTAATTGAATAGATAGTTTATTTTATAAGCACAGTGTAAAACAACATTTTCTTATATTAGAAAAGCTAGTTTCAAAATATTTAGTTAAAATTGGAAAAAATAGTGGAATATAATTCTGTAGAAGATTTTACAAGTGATATTAACATTTTTGATACACTACAAATCACTAGCTAAGAGAATAAAATAATTGTTAGTTTATGCTTTTCTTTTAAATCACAGTAGACTAACCCTAAGCGGATGATTACAAAGAATTCCTAAATCCATAAAAATTACTTGTACCACAAACCCGTTTCAGATATGATTATGTAAATATTTGTTAAAATAGCAGTGTTGCCAAATTGACGAACATAATCGTTACCACACAATTATTTCGAATGTTCTACAAACTTTTGAAAATATCAACAATGACACTAAAAAGCACTATGATGTATTTTTTCAGATTAAAGATATATATAATGATGCAACATAAAAATGTTGGTGTTTTCTGTAGTTGTATGTCCCTAATTAATTAATTTTCCATTTTTAAAATGTTCATTGCTAAAATTATGCTGGAGTCACTTGCTAAAAGATTAGAATAATTGTTAGTTTATGTTTTTCTATTAACAAATAAGCACTAATGTATTAGACCTTTTAAAATTACTTAAATTTCTAATGTATTTATAGAATTGTATTATATAGAGATAGAAGATATGCCATATTTATAGAAGGTCATTTGAATTAAGTAAATAGTAATTTTAAAAATACTTTATTAAATTAATTACACATACAATAAAATGACTTAATAAAAATAAAAGGATATTATATCCAATGAATAAAATATAAATTCTCAATACATACAATATAGCGTGTCAATATGAATATAAATTTAAAACAATAATTGATCATAAATAATATGTGATTTCAATATCGGAACATTTTGGCTAAATTCAATAATTAATTATATTAATTTCTAAGCAATTAAAAATATAAGTTATAATAGTTTTAAACATAATCATTAGGTAACAAGACAATAAAATGCATTACATTATTAACTTGACACAAAAAAATAAACTTAGCAATAAAATTACAAAATTTATAATATAAGTTTTGATCATATCAAAGTATCACAAAATTTAGATTTAAAAAAATATAATAACATTTAAAAATTTGATAGATGCTTGCAGCAATAATTTGGAATTTTACTATTTGGTAACAAGCATTGATATATATCTTTAGCGACCAGCAATCATTAAGTGATTAATATAGTTTTAGCTTAATAAATAATAAAAATAATTGAATTTATTTGATCAAATTCACACACATTAAATTTTTAAATTTTCAATGTTTGGCACATTTGCAGATTGATTTTTTGGAATAATACCCTTACTCTTCATGTAACTCAAAAACTGTTTAGGAACTTCAGCCAATACTTCTTTAGCCAAGTATAGATTAGCAACACTAGGATCCTGATTGTAATACTTATTGAAAGGCACAAACTGCACAATGTCACGCTCAGCTTTAACACCATCAACTGTTTTTAACATCTTTTTATCAGAATCTAATTCTTCCATTGAGTCAAACTCTGCATTACCTATTCCCACAATAATAATAGAAATTGGTAATCTTGATGCTGTTACAATTGCCTACAAAGTAAATAAAATATTTTTAACTTTGATGTGAAATGAGATATTCATTTTACTGTTTTTTTTTTTTTGCTGTTAGCATAAATACCAACTGTCACTGGACCAATTTCAGTTAATGATATGTCAAAATATCACAAATTATATCTAATTGAAGGTATTACCCTCAAGAATTGAAAATTTTTAAAACAGACCAAAAAATTAAAAATACTTTAGATGTTTTTCTTTCTTTTGAAAATTTATTTTTTTATTCAACTTTGTCTGCCCATGGAGGGGGAACTTTTGAAAATGTTCTGGTAAATCTATGATACAGAAACCTTGCATCATTAAAATATATTTTAAATTAAGATTAGTTTTATGATAATGATGTTAATTACTCTCAGATTTCAATCTATACTGGCGTCCCCAATGTGATAACATTTTTTAACTCTAAAATATATTAACACTTATTTTTCGGTATTTAATATTAGACAATGAATAATTTAGTGGTGCAAATTCAATAAAATTTCTGACCTCTAATTTTATACCTCTGGAATATTAATCTAAATAATTACTTGGACTGTTTCCTGCATGTCAGTTATGACACCATCAGTTAGTATGAGTAAAATAAAGTAGCCATTTCCCCCTTGATTATGTTGTGCAATTCTAGTTACATGGTTAATTACAGGAGCAAAATTTGTGGGGCCATACAATTGAACTAATTTAATACAATTGCGGTAAGCATCCAGTACACCTATTTAACAAATATCATAATTAATATTTGAGGCACTCGGAAAACAAGTTGATTAACTCCACTTTTTTTAATGCAACCATGCTAATATTGGCTATTATTAAAAAAAGTAAAGTTAATCAGCTTGCCTTCTGAGCATCACATTTAAATATGACAAAATAAACTTTTTCATGTTTATAATTACCTCTTACACTAAAACAATGTGGATTATCAACACTCATATTGACAAAAAATTCATGAGAAACCTGTCCATAAGGGGGAATTTTAGCTCCAAAGCCAAGTACGGGAAACTGTTTATCTGTGTCGTAATCTTCAATTATAGAAACTATACTCCAAATAGCTTGTTCATAAGAATTCATGGTTAAATTATTAATAAAGTGTAATGATTTTGGATGTGAGGGGAGTCCGTTTGACCCTATTCATAAGTAGAAAAATATTAAATAAAAAATACTTGTAATTTTAAAGTACTTAAATTGATGAGTTATTTTTATAGTAATCCATGTTGGGATTAATACTAATTGATCCCTAGCTAATAATTAGCTTTTTAACAATTTAACTATCTAGAATTATTNAATTGATCCCTAGCTAATAATTAGCTTTTTAACAATTTAACTATCTAGAATTATTCTAATTTGTGAACTCAGAACAATCTTGTGCTTTTTAGGCATTCAGAAATGAAAATTTCATAAAAAAAAAAAAAAAAAATAATGAAAATTAGCTATTCTTTTGGTTAGCTTAAAATTTGAATGCTAGAAATAGTTCTTTTAAAACTGAGCTAACTCAAACAAGGAATCATAGTTAATTAATGGGCCCCAATAATAATACTACATAAAATACCCTAAAATGGTAAAGAACATTAAATTAACAATTAGGACCGAGACACATGATAAATAAAACATCATTTAGTTTTCACTTCTTTATAAACTATATATGTCATAATATAGTTTAAATTTTTTGACAAAGTTATATTTAAAAAAAAAACACCAGTAAAATCAATAGCCACAGTGCAATGTATTTCTGTTCCTCCTTGAATATACTCTAAGAAAGAATAAGTTTTCTCAACATTGGCATATGTCACATATATTTCACCAGAATCTGTATAATCTTTCTTTTTTTCCTAGAATAAAATTACTAATTTATTTCATGAAACAAAGAGTAATATAATAGAGTGACTCTTTAAAGTAAATTTGGTGTGATATTAACAATTAAATTATTTTATTTACTAGAAAAATTATTTTAATGCTTAAAATTAGAACTAAAATGTCACTTAGTTAAAAATTTAACCAACTTAAATAATGAAAAACAATCGGAACTCATTATCACATACTTCATTCAAATATAATATAATTTAAAAAAATGAGTCTCAATTAATAATTTTAACAATTTATATCTAATACCTTTTTCTTTCCATTTATGCACTTGAAGGTAGCATTAGGTTCTAAGAGACCTTTTAAAGTAGTATGAAACTCTCCAATAAGGCTGTGATCACCAGAAGAATTCCAATCAAAGCAAATAATTTTCAAAGTTCGGTCATAATCACCATTACATAGTATTTTAATAGGAATAATAAACCTTTTCCAATGAGGTGAAAGCGTATTTTTAATAACCTATAAAAAGTTTAATTATGAATCTTAATAATCTAAATTATTATATTGGGCACAATAAGAACTTAATAAAACACAGTTTTCAAACTTTTGAGTCTTTTTTTTTTTTTTACACGGTCGACATAGTGTTGAACACCCTGAAACTACCGTGAGGTATTGCTTCAGGGAACTTTTGAGTCCTATAGCAAAAATACATATAGGAAATTGATGTTCATGGCATAGTTAAATAGAGGATATTTATCTAAAATCCATTTAAAAATACTACCCATAAATATGAAAACTACCTGAATTTTTATATAGAGTATTTTTAAGGAGGAAACAAGTTAAATTGGGTTGGGAAATCTAATTTTTTGGGAAAATATTTATAAACAAAACATTTTGTTTAAAATGCAGTATTTTTTAATTAAAACTATAAATATTTTTAATGCAAAATTAGATCAATAAACACAAAAAAATCAAAATAATTTTTTTATTTTAAATCATTATTTTTATTTTATTTTAAAGTAATCGTATAGAGCATATATTAATATTTTATGCATAATTTATAATTGTTGTGTTTTAATACTTTTTAAGTTTTTAAGGGCATTTAATTTTAGGCCATAGTATCTACCTTTTACTAAATAATGAATTTTAATGGTAGTAAACAGGATTTCAAGTAATAAATACTAATAATAATAAAACACCCTGATTTCAGTTTGGCTTAGTTTGAAAATTATAAAAAACCAAGCCAAAATTATTTAATTGGTTTGAAAACTAATAAGGTATATAAATTAACATTAAGCTATAATGAAAAATTATACGGGCAGAATTCCTACAATTTATAACTGACACAAAGATATAGTAAAAGACTTTAACTAAAAATTAAATTTAATAATAATTAATAACAGATAAAACGAAAAATATATAAAACTAAATAATAGTAAAAGAAAGTTTCTTAATATAAATATTTTATGATAAATGAAGTAGCTAGCATTAAAAGAATCACTTTTTATTCAATACTGAAAAGCCACAAATGTATAGTTGATCAAAATTATAAATTAACATAAATCCTCATATTTATAAATAATCAAATTTAAAAGAAAGGATAATATTTTAGGAAAATTACAACAGTCCCTAATTTTTATAAAAATTATTGAATATTTCAGGTTTTTTAATTGAGTTACTACCCTGTCAAGAAGTGAGAAATTTTCATAAACAAATTTTTTTACTTTTATTCAAAAACACTAAAATAATGTACGCATTTAAATTCAAATCAAATACTAAATTAAAAATCAGATCAATAAAATAATAAAAATTAATTAAACAAATTTTTTATTAACATAATAATTCTGTACAATAGGAAAGTGAACTTACGTCAGTTTTATGAACCAAAGTATAATTTCCAGTGTCTGTAAGTTTGAAAAATTCTAAAAATGGATCTGATTTTCCAAAAAAATCTTTCTTATCTAATTTTAGACCTTTTAATTCTAATATTACTTCATCATTATTTGAACATAACTCTTCAACAGTTATAATTAAAAATCCTTGTTTTAAGTTATCATCACGACCTTTTAATTGTATTTTATTCTAAATAATAATGGTTAGTTTTATTAAATTTTTTTATTGAGATCATGAAAAAAACCAAAATAATTTTTTTACACGTTTAGTAGTTACAAGTTGCCCTAATGTAGTAGTAACAGTTCCAAGAAAATCATGGGCAGATAAGTCTTTACTTTTTGAATCAGAATCATAAATCTCAAACATTAATGGCTGTCTTTCTTCAAATCGATAACTTATAAGTACTTTAGAGACAAAATTTGGATCTTCATTATTTTTTACAGTTTCAGTACGATGAAATTCTGTCCACTGAGATTTATTAAATTGTTGAATATATGTCACACACATAGGATCAGATTTAGATAAAATGTCTGAACCAGATAGTCCTCTAAAATTAATCCATTAAATTACAAATTTATAGTATAAAAATATAAAATTTCAAAAATTTAATTATTAAAATTTAAAGAATTTAAAATAGGATTAATAATTATATTTGATATTAGTATACAAACACAAAAGTTTTTAGGTAGTTTTGTGTGTGTCAAGGTTTTTAATATAAATTACATTATGTTCATTTCTTTATAACAAGCACATTAAAATAATTTTTTTTAAGTTTAATTTTATAATTTTCTATTAATTTTTATTTGTATTAAAAATAAGGATATAAATAAAAAAACCTTAATTTAAAAAAATAAAAGAATTCTATAAAAATAATTATAACATTTAACTTCATTTTTAATCATTTGTATTAATATTTATAAATTAAAATATGCATCATTAATTTTCATATTAAGATTTAAAAATCAAATTCTATTTCTATTATTACTATAATAAATGTTCAATACAAGTATTATTTGAAGAAAAACAAAGGAACCAGTTTTACATCAAATACTTTGTATAAACTACTGTGGGCATGTACTTAATAACTGTTTTAAGTTTCTTTAAAATTAAAAGAATAGTTTTGGAATATATTAAGGAAAAAAAAATAGATAATAATGTTTATATAAGTAGATATATATCAAACATATGTATATATTTTACCAGGATTATTAAACACCTGTTTAAAGCATAAATAAAGAGTATAAAACTTATATATAATAAGACAAAAATAAAGATAAATGAGAATTTTGAAATATTGGTTTTTTAAACGAAACAACATATACATATTATCTAGCATAATTCACCTGCATGCTAACGAAAGTTCAACATCTATTGAAGGAACTGGTGCAGATTCAGGAACAAATGCCATTTTTAATTTATAATATACAATCTAAGCCTTTATCTGAAGAGACGACAACTGGTATCAAATATAATATTGTAGAATATCAAAATTTTTGTAACATCTTGAAATTTATAATTTATCACGAATGATAAGCAACACATTTTTCTCAAAAATTTGATTAGAATGTTTATGAATCGATTAGGGATATAAGAATCGGGACAATATTTATCAGAAACTAAAAAAAAAAAACAGAACGTTATAAAACTATAATAAATAGGAATAATATTTATCACTATCAGCATAGATTAAATACATGTAATATAATAAATACATGTGTATTTAATCTATGCTAACAGTATTACGAGGAAACGTCTGGAAGTTAGCTCCCGAGACTAAGCGCCAACCACAATCTGATAAGACGGAAACCAAAACAGTGTACATTGAGTAGCCTGACTGTAAGAATCCAAGGGACAGAAGCATTAATGGATATATTATATTATAATAATTATACCATAAAAAAACGGTAGCACAGTGGGGTCGCAGCACACTGTGAACGAGGCATAGATGGGACAAGTATAGATGATATCTGACAGTGATTAAAATCACTATCATTAAAAACGCTTCGATGCAAATCTGTAGATAGTGTCTAATTTTAAGAGATTGGTAGATTATTTCAAAAGCAACCATAACTCTTATTCCCTTAATTTTATTCCGATTTATAATTATAATATATGAATACATAATAATTAAAGTAATTAAATTTAGTATGAAATTGATATTCAATAATATAATATTGTAATTTTTACGGAGATATTATAAAAAAAAACCAGCACAGGGGGGTCGCGGCACAGTGGTGACGTGGCATAGATGGATCAAGTATAATGATATCTGATAGTGATTAAANTTTAATCTGACAGTGATTAAAATCACTATCATAAGAAACGCTTCGATGCAAATCAGTAGATAGTGTTTAATTCTAAGAAATTGGTGGATAATTACAAAAGCTACATGATCTGCTAGTTCATTATTAATATCCTAATTAAGATAAAGTATGTCGAATGAAAAAGGGATTATTAGAAAATATTATTTCTTATAAAAAAATAATGTTGATCCATACACTTTTAAATATGTCATAGCATTATAAAGTTAAAAATGTAAAAAATAAAATCGAGAATTTTCACATAATAATAGCATTTGGTAGCATTTTCACCGTGAAGATAAAATAAAGTCCGAAATTTTTTTTTCGCATAATAAAGTAGATTACATTAACTTTAATTTAAGATATAAATAAAAGTGTCAGAATTCCGGAACAGTTTCAAAATTTAAGTTGAAAAAGTAAATTTTTTGTGAAAAAGTTGTCATTTTAAATCCCCCCTGTGGGCAGGTCAAGGGTTAAATTTATGAAATAAATATACCAAATGAAAGGTAATGATATTATGCATCTATATAAAAAAGAATTATATTGATATGTTTATTTTTGAAAAAGTTATGGCACTTTTAAGTAAAAAAAATTGAAAAAATTTCGAAAATTAGCGATTTTTAAATTTGTAATTTTTTTGGAGGTTTCCCCCATTTACGGGGAACGAGGGAATTTTTTTCAATTTTTGAGGGTAATGTCTTCGACTAGATACGATTTGTGATCTTTTGACGTATCATTGAAAGAAATCGGTTCGGTGAGAGCTGAGAAAAAGTGGTAACAGACACAAAAAAAAAAAAAAAATAAACACATCTTAGTAAAACCAATACCTTCTCAGCTTCGCATCGAAGCTAATAAAAAGGAGTTGTATATTCATATACTTTTAATGGGTACAAAAATTTAAAGGGATTGATGCAGTACTTTTTAATAAAAAATTTTTGTTACTTATGAATAAACACACTAGACTACAAGGAACTTTCATCAGAAACAAAAATATACTTTTCTAAATCAACTTTTCGCGATGTTTTCAAATGTGCAATTAAACTTTTTCTATTACTTCTAAGTTTTAATATTATTACTTATTATTAAAAAAATAAGTATTTGCATATAAAAAAAAACTTACCATTTTGAAACCCTTCATGTGGGCTTATAAAGGGTTAAATGTTCACAAAAAATATATAAAATGTAAAGTATATAAAATGATAGATGAATACCTAAGGTATCCATAAAAAAAAAAAAATTATATTAAATCGGTCATTTTTAAAAAAATTATGGTAATTTTAAGTAAAAAAAAACCCAGCACAGTGGGGTGGCGGCACAGTGGGGTCGTGGCATAGTTAGGTCCAGTATAGATGATATCTGACAGTGATTAAAATCACTATCATAAAAAACGCTTCGATGCAAATCTGTAGATAGTGTTTAATTTAGAGAAATTGGTGAAATATTTTAAAAGCAACATGAACTCTTATTTCTTTAATTATATCCTGATTAGTAGTTCTTTGATTTTAAAATATAATATANCTGACAGTGATTAAAATCACTATCATAAGAAACGCTTCGATGCAAATCTGTAGATAGTGTTTCCTTTAGAGAAATTGGTGAAATATTTTAAAAGCATCATGAACTCTTATTTCTTTAATTATATCCTGATTAGTAGTTCTTTGATTTTAAAATATAATATATGAATAAATACTAATTATAGTTTTTAAATTCAGTATGAAATTGTGAGGCCAGTTATGATGTTTGGTTCATAGTATTGGGCAGATGATAAGAAAGTAGAGCAGAGAATAAGTGTAGCAGAGATGAGAATGCTTAGTTGGATGAGTGGAGTGACTAGAGAAGATAGGATAAGGAACGAGCATATAAAAGGAAGTAAAGGTGTTGCGTCAATCGTGGATAAGATGACAGAATATATACTTAGATTGTTTAGTCATGGTATGAGGAGAGAAGAATCGAAAGCTGTAAGAACAGTTATAGAAATGAATGTTGAAGGAAGAAGAGATAGAGGAAGACCAAAAAAGAGATGGAGGGATGTTATTGAATGCGATTTGAGGACAGCTGATGTGAATGTCGAAGATGTGGGAGATCGTGTCAAGTGGAATCTTAGGATAAGTGTGGCCGACCCCAAGTAGTTGGGATTAAGATATAAAAAAATAAAAAGATTACCAGAAATACCGGTGGCAATTGACATAATATGATTGTTGTTTCGGAATGTACAATTTAGCGTTTAGTTGGGTTTAAATAATATAGCGTCAAATCAATTACCTACTCTATCGCTTGTATATTAATATACACTACACTTTAATGATACAATAAATAAATAAACTCACACATATACANTATATTATTATTTTTTTATAATAAATATTGATATACCCCTTTCATCTGGCACGCTTTTTTTGTAAATCGGATCATACCCCTTTAACAAGGGGGGTCAAAACTTTAAACATGCGTATTGTTACTAGGACATTTTCAATTTAATTTTTGAAAACGTTTCAAAAATACTGACACTTTTATATATATCTTAAAGTACAGCTAATAAAATATACTTTAATCAAAAAAAAAAAAATTTGACCTCTGGACTTGTCTTCATGGTGAAAATGACTACCGTATTCAAAAATATGCTATTTTTGTGTTAAAATTCTGGGTTTTGTATTTTATTTTATTTTAAAATACCTGACAAGGGGAGTACAGATTTTCATAAATATTATATAAAT